TTCTTGTGATGGTCCGGTGCAGTGTCTTCGCTGTCGGAGATGATCTCGCCAACAGCAATAGATTGCCTAGCACGACTCATAAACTGTTTGTCCTCAGACGGCAAATATTTACACACACTAAGGTAATGGTGAAACCTCGGCCTACCTGCTTGCTTGCAAAGAGGGCAAATTTTTCCGGTGCTCCTCTGTGTCCGCATTGTGGAACTACCAGGCGATGTCATTATTAGTGTGAATTTCCTCTAATAAGCTATCTAAAGCCTGTGAGATCTCTGGCTTGAGACTGGCTAATGTTTTAGCCCGCAGCTCTGTGCCGTAGCGTTGTTTTACTAAGGATGGCAAGTCCTTGTTTACAAGCCGCAACCATGTTAATGTGACAAGGTTTTTGAGAAAGGGCGAGCTTTCCTCATCGGACTCAGGAGCTGTGCCATGATGGGTTATCCCCCCTGCCTGAAGGAGGTTGAGTGGCTGTGCGAATTGAAGCTTCTGGGACTCTATCGTTATCGTTGGTGAAGCCACGAGTTGGGTCGGTAGCACTTTTCTTGGTCCATACTGACCCATCAATGAGGAATATAGCGAAGTTTGGGTCTAGTGAGAGGGTATATTGTAAATTCTGTCTCCATGCTCCAAAAGAAGTGATAGTTTCGTTTTTAGTCAGAGACCATTGTTTTGGGGCACGAGTTGAGGCCATCTTCGTATAACTTTGGCACACTGTAGGCGTATAATTACGTACAGTACAAACAGTAGGTTGTCTGGACCGGGATACACACAGATTTTTTTTTTCTTTTTTTTTACGTAAAGTGATGAAAAATTATTCAAACTGTAGCTTTACTTCCGATTTATGTTCAATAATCTCAAGTCACTACCTGAGATATAGTACAGTTACTTTGGGTTTCGTTTCATGGAATGTTGAAAAGTTACATTCGATTTCACAACCGGTATATCTGGTGCAAGATTTCACCTTTTTTCAGCTATAGAATAAGCTGCCCTGTTATGCTTCGGTCGCTGACAACTCGTCACATTGTTGTAGAGGTGTATTTATGTAACCGCAGCCACCACGCCAATAATTAGTGAGACTAACACCTAATAGTTCGGTGAGATCAGACCGATCTTTACTCAACCAGTCTGTACAATAACAGAAAACATAGGAGAGTTCCACTGAGGGAAATAACTCATGATCAACATAGTAAACACCAGTGGCATTGTAAGTTACAAATTTATTACTAAAAACAAGAGGCCTTGTAAATGGACTTCAGGCTTTTCATATGGTGTATGTATCACATATGAATTCTTAAATGCTTTAGTCTCTTGATTTTGTTTGTAACCAATTTCGAATTATTTTTGACTTGTTATTTAATTCATTTCTTTTATGATAACAACGTAGCAAAACCAGGTAAAAACTAAAGTGGTATTCTAGCGAATTAAAAAATCAGGGTTTTGAAATAAGTGACTTTCTCATTTTTTATTTTTTTTTTTTTATTATTATATTTTTGGTTTTTTTTTGTACAGTGTAAGCAAAATGGAACCTGAAAGAAAATTGTGCTTTAGTAATTTTACAGGTTGTAATTGTGTATTTGTGAAGTTAATGGGAAAAAAATGAAAAGATATTTCTAACAAGTGTTACCATTTGTAGGTTTAAATGCACATAGTGAAAAACGACAAGGAATGAAGAAAATTTGAAAAACTCATTTTTCTGACTCCTGTTTTTACGTCTCTGCTTTGAGTACATGGATTTGTAATTTATTTTCAAGAAAATGTCCCTCTAAATAATGTACCCTATCAGTTTTTGGAGAAGAATTAATGGTATGAGGATAAAGCTTTACATAAATCTATATTGTTTTATTCTATCACATATACTTATATTGTTTTATTCTATCACATATACTTATATTGTTTTATTCTATCACATATACTTATATTGTTTTATTCTGTCACATATACTTATATTGTTTTATTCTGTCACATATATCTATATTGTTTTATTCTGTCACATATATCTATATTGTTTTATTCTGTCACATATATCTATATTGTTTTATTCTGTCACATATACTTATATTGTTTTATTCTATCATATACATATACATATATTATATTGTTTTATTCTATCACATATACTTATATTGTTTTATTCTATCATATACATATACTTATATTGTTTTATTCATATATCACATATATCTATATTGTTTTATTCTATCACATATACTTATATTGTTTTATTCTATCACATATACTTATATTGTTTTATTCTATCACATATACTTATATTGTTTTATTCTATCACATATATCTATATTGTTTTATTCTATCACACATATACATATATTATATTGTTTTATTTATATTGTCACATATATCTATATTGTTTATATATACTTATATTGTTTTATTCTATCATATATCTATATTGTTTTATTCTATCACATATATCTATATTGTTTTATATCTGTCACATATATCTTATATTTTATTCTATCACATATTTCTATCACATATTCTATATTGTTTTATTCTATCACATATACTTATATTGTTTTATTCTGTCATATACATATATCACTATATATTGTTTTATTCTGTCACATATATCTATATTGTTTTATTCTGTCACATATATCTATATTGTTTTATTCTGTCACATATATCTATATTGTTTTATTCTGTCACATATATCTATATTGTTTCACATATATCTGTCACATATATCTATATTGTTTTATTCTGTCACATATATCTATATTGTTTTATTCTGTCACATATATCTATATTGTTTTATTCTGTCACATATACTATATATTGTTTACTTATATTGTTTTATTCTGTCACATATATCTATATTGTTTTATTCTGTCACATATATCTATATTGTTTTATTCTGTCACATATACTTATATTGTTTTATTCTGTCACTTAAACCTGTATTTTTTATTCTGTGGACAGAAACTACTGAAACTTTGTGTAAAGACGACTCAAAAGTTTAGGAGCTGAAATATGTTTTGTTAATGTTTAAATTTCTTCAGATTACACCCCTATTATTTAAACAAGCGTTAAGTAAACATTTATATTGAACACTGAAAAGTTATTGATGATGAGTAGAGTTTGATAAATATCAATATTATCAGAATATACTATTATCAACTTAAAATGAATATTGACATAATTTCTGTGAAGATACTTTTTGATAGTGAAAAATGTGGTGTAAGTAGGCAAATATACTGGTACCCTCAGTTCTGAAAATAAGTTACTTAATATGTTAATTATACATTAAACTATTCAAACTGAAGCCAAGTTTTGGAATCCTTGAAATCATGGTTAGAGAGGTATCATGATGATTCAATAATTTAATAAAACAAACAAAGAATAGAAGCTGTAAACCAAGGTAACCAGTAAAATATTCATTTAGGTCTGAAACTTTCAAAGTTTTTGTCTTTTTGCCAGTATGTATGGATGACTTCTGACATAAGAAATTTACATGTGATTGACTTTTGACATGCTAATTATCATACAATTTTTATCAGCCAATCACATCAAGATGATCTGTAAATTGTTATGTAGCATACTTACTTCCAGTCAGTTAAGTACATATATACAGATGTATAATGACTGTGTCAAGCTCCTGTCTGAAAATTTGTCTAAACATGGATGATTATATTTTGCTAATTTTGACCCATTTAGGAATTTTCAAAATTGAATAAAGATCTCCTGCTAACAGACAAAACTCATCACAGGCGATTCCTTTCCAATAGCAACTGGTAACTTTACAAATTTTCTATTTACAATCAAGGAGGGCCTGGATATTTCAGGTGTCAATAATTCTGAAATGCTACTTGTTTGATTTCATAATTGTTAAGAATTTCACATTTTTGCAAATTACATTTGTTATTGCTTAGTCACGATGAGACCTCTAAACATTTTTTCTCCCGGCAAAATATAGCAATGTGAAAAAAAATTTGCAATGTACAAATATTTTAATATGGTATCACAACACTTCATCCTTCTAAGTAAGCTGTGATAGCAATTTCCTCATAATCATTTAAACAAGAATAATTCAACTTTAGTATCAGCACATTGGTTTTTATGTTTGTTCTTGCACTGTAGTGCAGAAGCATGGTATTGAGCTGATATGTTCCTATGATAAAGCCCGACAAAGCTTTTGACAGAAAGTGACATTCATGCCAATTCAAGGTCATAGGGGTCAAATTAGTCACAGTTTTAAAACAGATTTTTTATATGAAGTAAAAGGATTAAAAGCATGCTATTTGGAGGATAGGCTCCAAGGATGAAACCTGAAAAGGATTTTAGGACGAAATCTGACAAAGTTTATGAAAATAATTGACATTGACCCATATTTGAGGTCGCAGAGGTAAAATTTGTTAAAAGCAATTTCATCATAATCATTTCAATCAAAATAATCCAACTTAAGCATCAGCACATTGATTTTTATGATTATTTTTTCATGGTAAAATGCAATTGCCATTTATTTTTATTTTTTCTCGTTTAATGAGAAGTGATAATGTTGGGTGAGATGGTATCCTAATATACAATTATATGTCAAAAATTTTCACCACACAGAGATATTTACTGTAGATTAAAAAAAATCCATGATTGAAAAAGTCCTGAGTTGATTTATCAAGATTGTAAATTTCATAATTCTCAGTATTAGAAAAATGGGGCTCAAAGGGGAAATTTACTTTATTACGAAAAATCTTCTTCTCCAGATCAAATCCTGATGCTGTAGATTAAAAAAATGATTTTAAGGATGGAATGGTCACAAGATGCTTTTCAAGTAGGGAAGGGATTAACTTTACAAGTTTTTTTCCAATGTATGCTACCACAGAAATGCTATAACCTGACTTTGTGAGACCACTGGATAATAAGTTAATATATGGAAGTAAAATTTGTCAAGATGAATCCCTGGTTATGTAAATACTTGTAACCAATTAACTTATAATAATGATAATGAAATGATTATTAATCACATCAATGATGATTTTTTTCAGACTCACCAACAAATTTCAGAGTAATGTTTCTATAATCGTGGAGGAGAATTTGATAACAATTCGAGAAAAAGGAAAAGTACTTTGTTGTGACTTTGATGAGGCTAAGTTGTCTCCCCTGACATGTCGTGGTCTCAAATACTTCCCTGACGGTGAACTACAGTTTACAATCTATGTGGACAGTGAAGTGAACCAGGAGATGTACCACATGGACACAAATCACTCCAAACAGTCGGACTTTGTTGAAAAGATCCAGTTGTACCAGGACAAGTGTTACTGTGCCAAGTGCGGGCAGAAAATCTTCGCTGATCATTGGTCAGTATTTTAGACTTTACAATAAGTAGTTCACCTGGTTTCACAGGACAAATTTGTTACTGTGCTAAGTATGGACAGAAATTCTTCGCAGTATTTTAGATTTTAGTAGGTCACCTGGCCTTACAGACCATGATGAGCTGATGCATGCTGTGAGATTGCATTCGTTGTTGTCTTCTCTGAAACACATTTACAGGTTTTAATTATTTCAGATAAAGTTCCCTGATACCCTGGGCTAGTGGGCTTGGCAAAAATTGGAAAACAAAGCAATTTTTTTTTTAACATTTCCTTTTCGTATAGCTAAAGTGAATAGCTTTAAATTTTATCAGTAAGATACCCAGGGGAAATAAAATTATCAAAACCATGCCCATGGGTTGATGAATAAGGATACTCCCAGAGGTCAGAGGTCAACATAGGATTTAAAGAGTATGAAGAGCAATCTGTATTCCTAGTGTGACAGTTGATATAGGGATCTGTGTCTTATTTATCATGTTTAACTGGTTGCTGGACATAAAAAAAAGGAAGACAATCATACTACTAAGATAAGGCTCACTGCACCTGAGGGCACGTCCAGGAGCTATGATGTGCTTTGGAAACAGTTGGGATCTGCACCTAATACCCTTGATATCCAGAAAGGAACAAATGTTCTATTTAGTATTTACAATAATTAGAGGTCTGAGATTTATACTACAATATAAATTTTCCAAACTGACCACACCTGGAACATTTGACGAGTTTAGGGAGGGTTTGGTTTGTAGACGTGAAGCAAATTGACCAATCTTGATTCAGATATATTTGAACCATTTCCATTCTGTACATTACTTGTACCATTTTGTTCACCAAAATAAAACTTGATGATCTTTGCCAGGAGGGGAGGGCTCAATAGGGAGACATGTGATATATCTTTGAAACAGTTGAGGTTCCAACCCCATAATCATATAAAACAATGATGGGCAGCAAGAGATAAACATACTCATGATATATGAACTGGCCATTAGGTGTGGCTCCACCCCTCTAGACATAATTTCTGGGTTATATCTTTGAAACTGTTGAAATCCCTACAACATAACCATATATATACAATTGCTTGGCAACAAGAAATAAACACATTTGTTATATAAGAATTGACTCTAAGAACATTATTTCTGGGTCATATTTTGACATAGCTGAGAACCAACCCATTAACCATATAAACCCTTACCGGGCATAAAAAGAGAATAACAGTAATGATATAAGAATGATATAAGATATAAGAATTTACCCATTGGTCTTTTATCATCAAAATGAGTAAGTGATTGGGCTTTAATTCGAAATAATTGAAATACTCAACCTGTAGGCATGTGTACCATTGCTGAGCTTTAAGGTCCAGGTAAGCGATACAGACCCTTTGGGCCTCTTGTTTTAATGTTTATCTTGTTTGGAGATCTTCTCACACAGTTTTCTTCTGATTTCATTTAAACTTGAAAGAATTAATAGCATTACATGAAGTTTGGTATTCCTGAATGACATTGTGATCTGACATTTTTGGAAACAGTTATTGCCCCCTTGGCTTTTTTAACATGTTTATCTTGTCCAGATATTTCATCCTGCAGTTTTTTATGAATTTCTTTGAAACTTGGTAGACTTTATAATCACAACATGAGATTGTGTTCTCATTTATAACAATTTTATTTGACCACATTTCATAAAGTTATTGCCCTTTTTCACAGTATGTTTATGAGAGTGTTGGCCCTTGTCATCAGATAACTGTTGAGTGATACAGGCCCACTAAGCCTCTTGTTTCCTTTATTTTACAGTGTATTGATGAGTGCTGGCCCTTGTCATCAGATAACTGTTGAGTGATACAGGCCCACTAAGCCTCTTGTTTCCTTTATTTTACAGTGTATTGATGAGTGCTGGCCCTTGTCATCAGATAACTATTGAGTGATACAGGCCCACTAAGCCTCTTGTTTCCTTTATTTTACAGTATCTTTACGAGAGTGTTGGCCCTGCCTTCTGAGAACTGGGCAGACTACAGTGACATGTGGTTCTGTCACAAACATGAAGAGAATGATGAGAAATCAAAAATGCCCAAACTCCTACTGCCTAAAGAGAAACAGTGTCTTGTAGGTGACACCTATTTACTGGTACAGGGGCGACACCTCAAGCCTGGTCACACACGCACCACTGCTGATGTCCTTCTATGTCAGCGCTGTGGTCATCAGCTCGGGGTCAAAATCCATGAAGGATCAGCACAGGGAGGTATATTGGTAGAATAGCATATGGTATCATTACAGATGTAGGGTTTTGTATGGGTGTAACATATAAAGGGATTATACGAATCTTTTTTTAGGTCACCTGAGCCTAAGGCTCATGTTGACCTATCACAATCATGATTTGTCTGTCGTCGTGCGTTGTGCGTCATTAACTTTTCACATATTCGACATCTTCTCAAGAACCACTGAATGGAATTTGATCAAACTTGGCACAAAGCATCCTCATGGGAAGCCACTTAAAGTTTGCAAAGAAAAAGGGCGTGGCCCCAATAGGGGCCCCAGGAGGGGGAAAAAGGGGGTAAAATTAGGTAAATCTTTAAAAATCTTCTTCTCATGAACCAACTGTCAGATTAAGATCATATATGATATTTTGGGTCCTTATGGCAAGGTCTACAAAGTTTGCGAATGAAAAAAAAATCGGGTCAAAAACGGCCCCACTAGGGGGCGCTCAAAAGGGTCAAAAATTCAACTTTGACGGTTTTCAACAAAATTTGGTAGAAAGCATCCCTTAGTGAAGGACATATGAAATTATTTTGAAAAAAGTGATTATGTCCCCTTTAGGGCCCATAAGGGGTGTAAAAGGGGCCATATGTAAAAACCTTCTTTAAATGACTTCTTCTCAAGAACCAGTGGATGGATTTTGACCAACCTTGGCACAAAGCATCTCCAAGGGAAGCCGCTTCAAGTTTGCGAAGAAAAAGGGCGTGGCCCCAATAGGGGCCCCAGGAGGGGGAAAAAGGGGTAAAATTAGGTAAATCTTTAAAAATCTTTAGCATGAACCAACAGTCAGATTAACCACTGGGTTGGTCATGTCTAAACTTGATACGAATGTTCTACGCAAGGTCCTGGAAAGTGTTTTAACTTTTTGGGATGATTCAAAATCCAAGATGGCCACCCTGGCCTCTGTTTGGCTAAGACATTTTGGACTTCCTCTCAAGAACCACTGGGTGGATCATGTTCAAACTTGGTACAGATGTTTTACACAGGGTCCTGCACAAGTGTTGTTACATTTTTGCAACATTTTAAAATCCCCAGATTATTGACATATATTCCTCAGGTGACCGGTAAGGCCCCTTGGGCCTCTTGTTGTTATAAACATACCGTTTCATATGAATGTTGGTTTGTATACATGTACAGTTTTAAATGAATGTTTGTTCCTTACAGATGTAGGGTTTTCCCGGACATACCCTGTGTATAAAGTTTTTCGACACAGCGTACTGTTTCACAGACTAGAAGAAACCATCGACAAAGGTCCCAAGTGAGTAGTCAGTGATCTCAGATATTCATAATGACTCCGCAATGACAGACATCTTACACTATGTTTACCGTGTTATTGTGTAAAAAAGTCATAAAAAGGAGATACATAAAAATATAGAGGAATCACTAAATAATGTGGAAGGTACTTCTATTTTGTTTCACAATTGTTTGACAGAATTCGGAAATTTTGAATCTCTGACCACTAGTTCAGAAATACCACATATTGATGAAATCTATTACACAACATTTATTTACAGGTGATTTGTATCAGGTTTGAGGTGATGATGGAGAATAACTTTGATTGTTTGAGGTTTGAGGTGATGATGGAGAATAACTTTGATTGTTTGAGGTTTGAAGTGATGATGGAGAATAACTTTGATTGTTTGAGGTTTGAGGTGATGATGAAAGATAACTTTGATTGTTTGAGGTTTGAGGTGATGATGGAGAATAACTTTGATTGTTTGAGGTTTGAGGTGATGATGAAAGATAACTTCGATTGTTTGAGGTTTGAGGTGATGATGGAGAATAACTTTGATTGTTTGAGGTTTGAGGTGATGATGGACAATAACTTTGATTGTTTGAGGTTTGAGGTGATGATGGAGAATATCTTTGATTGTTTGAGGTTTGAGGTGATGATGAAAGATAACTTTTATTGTTTGAGGTTTGAGGTGATGATGGAGAATGACTTTGATTGTTTTAGGTGATGATGGAGAATAACTTTGTTTGAGGTTTGAGGTGATGATGGAGAATAACTTTATTTCAGGTTTGAGGTGATGATGGACAATAACTTCGATTGTTTTAGGTGATGATGGAGAATAACTTTGATTGTTTGAGGTTTGAAGTGATGATGAAGGATAACTTTGATTGTTTGAGGTGATGACGGAAAATAACTTTGATTGTTTGAGGTTTGAGGTGATGATGGAGAATAACTTTGATTGTTTGAGGTTTGAGGTGATGAAGAATAAGTTTGATTACTTGAGGTTTGAGGTGATGATGAAGAGTAACTATTATTGTTTGAGGTTTGAGGTAATGATGGGGAATAACTTTGGTTATTTGAGGTTTGAGGTTATGATGAAGAATAACTTTGATTGTTTGAGGTTTGAGGTAATGATGGGGAATAACTTTGATTACTTGAGGTTTGAGGTTATGATGAAGAATAACTTTGATTGTTTGAGGTTTGAGGTGATGATTTAGAATAGCTTGGATTGTTTAAGGTTTGAGGTGATGATGAAGGTGAACTTTGTTTCAGGTTTGAGGTGATGACGGAGGATTACTTTGCTAACCTGATTGTAGAGCAGAGCCATTTATACACAAGTTTCCGACTGGTCATTGAGGCAACCAAGGGAGAGCACTCTGTTACATGTCTGGTCAGTTTATGTAACAAGATTGTAAATTTTTTTTCAAGAATTTTCTTGTTCTGAAAACAACAAAATGAACAGCTAAAAGTATAGAGACATGTCAATATAGACAGATGTTACAGGTATGACTTATGGTGTATGTAGACAGGCGTTACAGGTATGACTTATAGTGTATATAGACAAGTGTTACAGGTATAACTTATAGTGTATATAGACAGGTGTTACAAGTATGACCTATGGTGTATATAGACAGGTGTTACAGACAGGTATTACAGGTATGACAGATAGTATAGACAGGTGTTACAGGTATGATTTATGGTCTATATAGACAGGTGTTACAGGTATGACTTATGGTGTATATAGACAGGTGTTACAGGTATGACTGATAGTATAGACAGGTGTTACAGGTATGACTTATGGTCTATATAGACAGATGTTATAGGTATGACTTATGGTCTATATAGACAGGTGTTACAGGTATGACTTATGGTGTATGTAGACAGGTGTTACAGGTATGACTTATGGTGTATATAGACAGGTGTTACAGGTATGACTTATGGTGTGTATATAGACAGGTGTTACAGGTATGACTTATGGTCTATATAGACAGGTGTTACAGGTATGACTGATAGTATAGACAGGTGTTACAGGTATGACTTATGGTCTATAAAGACAGATGTTACAGGTATGACATATTGTCTATATAGACAGGTGTTACAGGTATGACTTATGGTGTATGTAGACAGGTGTTACAGGTATGACTGATGGTGTATATAGACAGGTGTTACAGGTATGACTTATGGTGTATATAGACAGGTGCTACAGGTATGACTTATGGTGTATATAGACAGGTGTTACAGGTATGACTTATGTGTATGTAGACAGGTGTTACAGGTATGACTTATGGTGTATATAGACAGGTGTTACAGGTATGACTTATGGTGTATATAGACAGGTGTTACAGGTATGACTTATGGTCTATATAGACAGGTGTTACAGGTATGACTGATAGTATAGACAGGTGTTACAGGTATGACTTATGGTGTATATAGACAGGTGTTACAGGTATGACTTATGGTGTATATAGACAGGTGCTACAGGTATGATTTATGGTCTATATAGACAGGTGTTACAGGTATGACTTATGGTGTATGTAGACAGGTGTTACAGGTATGACTTATGGTGTATATAGACAGGTGTTACAGGTATGACTTATGGTCTATATAGACAGGTGTTACAGGTATGACTGATAGTATAGACAGGTGTTACAGGTATGACTTATGGTCTATAAAGACAGATGTTACAGGTATGACTTATTGTCTATATAGACAGGTGCTACAGGTATGACTTATGGTGTATGTAGACAGGTGTTACAGGTATGACTGATGGTGTATATAGACAGGTGTTACAGGTATGACTTATGGTGTATATAGACAGGTGCTACAGGTATGACTTATGGTGTATATAGACAGGTGTTACAGGTATGACTTATGGTGTATATAGACAGGTGTTACAGGTATGACATATGGTCTATATATACAGATGTTTCAGGTATCATTAACCAGGGAAGTTTTTTTTTTCAATATTGTAATGTTGGTTCAGAGAAAAAAAGTAAAAAAGTCATTGGTCTAATATGACCTAGCTGAACTCTTATTGACTTAAGTTTTCAATTGTTCTCATGAAATAATAGATAAAGAGTGAGGATATCTTGAATTGAAATCTTTAAGTTAAAAATAATTTTTTTTTATATTTTGTGGTAAAAATGTCTAACCTATGTGACAAATAGCAGGCTTGAGGCTCAGGATTATGACTCATGAATATCATTGCAATGGAAAGCCATGAGAGAAACTGTATATATCTTACAGGTCTGGTTGATTGATCCATGTCTGATGGTGTATATAGACAGATGTTCGTTAGATGAGTCACACATTCAGCTCAGACCAACAAAGGTGCTAAAGATGTTGTACAAGTGTCAGATACAACCTGGAGGGTAAGTATAATACTGAAACAGATTTCAAGTACAAAGAAGTGAGTCCAACATGATAGTTTTTCCGTACACTGGATTAACATGTTTCGGATCTAGACGAGCCGTCACTAAAACAACAGCTCTAGGCAGTGTATTGTGATGTCATGGATACAAGTGTAAACAAGCAAGTGATGTCATAATTCAACAATTACATTGAGCAATGGGTAAACAATATATACAGTGGATATAGCAGACATTATATGAAGTTGATATGAAGTGCAGAGTAATTACATAATGAGTGATAATATCAAGTTCTATATATGATCATAATAAGCCTGTTAACTCAGGTAAGTTATATATATATGATAAAGGTATAGGTTATGATCATATTAAGCCTGTTAACTCAGGTAAGTTATATATATATATATATATAATAAAGGAATAGGTTCTGATCATAATAAGCCTGTTAACTCAGGTAAGTTATATATATATATATATGATAAAGGTATAGGTTATGATCATAATAAGCCTGTTAACTCAGGTAAGTTATATATATATATATATAATAAAGGAATAGGTTATGATCATAATAAGCCTGTTAACTCAGGTAAGTTATATATATATGATAAAGGTATAGGTTATGATCATAATAAGCCTGTTAACTCAGGTAAGTTATATATATATGATAAAGGTATAGGTTATGATCATAATAAGCCTGTTAACTCAGGTAAGTTATATATATATATATATAATAAAGGAATAGGTTATGATCATAATAAGCCTGTTAACTCAGGTAAGTTATATATATATGATAAAGGTATAGGTTATGATCAATTCTAACATTATCCAGTTAGGAAAGAATCGATAATGAAATATAAACAGATTTTGTTGTCAGTCCATATCTGTTATAATTAGTAAAGTATTAAGAGATACATGTAGACATTGCTACTAATTGCGTGTGTTTAAACCAGATGGTTTGGTTGTCTCCCTCTGTATTAATATTATAAACACAACTCCTTCATAATGCCTGTGTAGATTTCAACCAAATTTGATCTGAAACATTGTTGCAGGAGGGTTATCATTTCCTAACTTCAGAAAGTTGATTCGACCCCTAGGGTCGTGGGGACGGGGCCCTAAATGGGAAAGTTAGTCAATATTTTGCTTCTAAACGCTATTCTTCATTAAAACTTGAATAGATTTAAACCAAACGTGGACTGAAATATCATTGTGGGTAGGGTATCATTTCTTAATTTCATAAAAAAGAATGTTCTATACAGTAAAACCCTGCTAAGTTGAACTCCTCGGGCCTGTGTCAATAGTTCGGGGAATACAGGGTATTCGAGTAATCAGAGGTTGGTCAAAATGTAGATCGTGTGTGAGATATAGATAGGCCTAATTACGGACAGATATGTGAATCTAATCATAGAAAAATGCGAACACAAACTCATTGTTAAAATGTGTATAAATGAAAAAGTTGTTACAATGATACATCAGTAGAAAATTGTTCCGTTATTAGTGTGTCATTTCGTAATTTGGTTTTACTGAAATAAAACTTCCGGTACAATGTTACAATATTATTCAATTTTTAAAGTCAAGCTAAACCATGTGTGTACTAGAAAGGTAATGATAAAATTACTGCATAAGGTGTGAAGTATCAGCACAGGTAGGTAAACCTGTCGTTAATCCCTTAATTGGCTGCTGTCATGTCGCACACCTGTGTAAACACATGGCAGTGATCAGAGCCGATCAGCTCACGTTAACGCAATCAAGTGTGACACAGGTGGATTACATGTTCGACGAAAACATGGGAATATACTATTGTAATATTAGGGAACGGGGATAAATATGAGTTTGACGAAAAGGGGGTATTCGACGAATAGCGGTTTGAGGAATCTGAGGTTTTATAACATAGAATATATACTACTCACAATTTGATAGGGATCACACCTAATAATTAGCAAAATTTTCTTTTAAAATAAAATGATAGGTATTCCTTATATTTGTTGGTTTATATCTGTACCGAGGTATATGTGTTTATATGGTCAGTCACCCATAACGCCTACACGTCACATGTACACGCACAAGCCTCCTACGTGCAGATTGTCGTCAATACGTTTGTGGCAGAATATCTCGCTTTTTGCTTTATATTTTGAATTTTAATGGTTTCAAAATGCCCCGACAGCAGGCTAGAAGACGTCTAAGCACTTCAGATATGGACAGGAGCATTGGTATGATCCAGTCTGGTAGGTCACAAAGGGAGGTGGCCAATGACCTTGGTGTGTCCCAGAGTGTTTTGTCCTATATGTGGAATTGTTACCAAAATTATGGAACTGTCTCCAGAAGACATGGTGGGGGTTGGGAACAATTTACATCCCAGCGTCAAGACCGCTATCTTGTTATTGCAGCTCGACGTCAAAGGTTCATCAACGCTATGTCACTACTTAATGACTTCCAGAATGCCACCGGAACTCGTATCTCCACACAAACTGTGAGAAATAGACTTCATGATGCTGGTATAAGGTCGCGCAGACCTGCTGTGAGAATTCCTTCGACGTTACATGTTCAAGGTAGACTTGCTTAAGTTCGTGATCATGTGAATTGGAACCTCCATGACTGGTCCCCCGTACTTTTTACAGACGAGTCTAGATTTTGCTTAGATTTCACTGACCAACGTGCCAGGGTGTGGCAACTACAAAATGAGAGGTTCCATGCCGCTAACGTTTCCCAACATGACCGATACGGTGGTGGATCCGTTATGGTTTGGGGTGGCATTAGCATGCAAGGCAAGACCGACCTTCATGTGTTCCTTAATGGTAGTTTGACTGCACAGAGGTACTGTGACGAAGTCCTGGACGTGTACGTCAGGCCTTATGCTGGTGCTATAGGTCCGAAATTCATTCTTATGGACGATAATGCTCAACCACTCAGAGCTCTTGTGACTGAACAGTATCTGGAAAGGGAAACAATTGAGAGGATGGTCTGGCCAGCCTGATCTCCAGATCTCCAGATAGAACACGTGTGGGATATGCTTCAGAACACTGTTTCGGCGAGAAAAATCCAACCTAGAACGCTTCAGGAACTTCAAGCAGCTCTCGTTGCTGAATGGACAAGTATTCCCCAAAACCCGATACGAGACTTGATCAGAAGCATGCGCCACCACTGCCTGAGCGTAATTGATGCTCGAGGACATTATACTCGATACTAACACTGTATTTTTTGCTTAACAACACTGTTTCGTAGGACTTAATTTTTCGGCCCTTTTGTCGTAATTTGCGATTTTCGGGGTATCTGTGTACAATGAGCATTAAAGCAAATCAATACTGTTATTCTTTGCTTGGTGTTGTTAAATCTTCATCTTACAATGCTGAAATATGTATAAATTGAATTGTAGAATATATTCTTAAAATAGATACTGTTACACATTAAATAAAAAAGTGATCCCTATCAAATTGTGAGTAGTATATAAGGAAACGGTAGGGTCCGAGCGGGCAGTTTGACAAATACGGGGTATTTGAGGAATGCGGGTTCGAGTAAGGGGGTTTTACTTTATTTTAATTCATCAGATTTATCTGACCACTATCTTCAAATTCTGTGGTTTGCCTATCCATTCATCGGTCGGCAGATGACTGATAAGGACCATGACACTCTTGTGAACTCACCTGGTCCGAAGGACTGGTCATAAATAACTAAGTGTATTTTACCAAATTTGGTCAAAAGCATCTGTAGGAGAAGGGGAACAAATTTGTATAGACACTCATGGGCCTAAGGGATAAGACCCAAAAGGGGAAATCCTTCTTCTCCTGTAGAAATGATTGGATTTTGCCCAAATTTGGTCCGAATTGTGGTTGGGTGAAGAGGAGTCTGTGTGATGTAAACAGTGGGCTCACAGCCTTCAGGGACAGGAGAGGCGGAAGCAATATAGGATGTAGTAGAGCAAATTTTATAGAATCCTACTTCTCTTGTAGGAATGATTGGATTTTGCTCTGTTTTGGTCTGAAGCATTCCTAGATGAAGTGGAAATCAATTTTGTATAAACAATTGATCTTAACCCCCTTAAGTTACAAGGCTCTACAGAGGGAAATTGAGGAAATTCTTTTAAATCCTTCTACTGATTTGACCTGAAGAATTCTTTATTGAAAGACATATTCATAAAAATGGTTTTATTGACCCTTTGGGGGCAGAGGGGTTAGGACGAAGGGAAAAATCAATATAAACCTTAAGAATTTCTTTGCCTCTAGATTGGATTGTACTAATTGCTTTAGTAAGGATGTTGTACTTATACAGATTTTATATATTGTTGATAATTCTTTTTCTTTATGACAGTTGTCCACCAAGTCCTGATCATACATTTTCATCTTGGAAAACAGACCAAGCTGTCCACATTATCCAGCTTCCATATCCAATGTGTGTCCAGCTTGTGTCTCTCTTGGTACAGAGTTCCAAATGTGTACCTCGCTCTCAGAGATTCCTCAACAAATTCTTTGTAAGTTGTATCCTCAGTTTTGTAAGATGATATCCCCTATTATCTTCCCTTGTGTTTTAGACAGCGAGTTTTGAGTGGCGCCCTCAATTTTCTAAAAATAACTCTTCCCTCACATGTTTTACATTAAGTTTTGAGTGGCGCCCTCTATTTTCTAACCATATCTCTTCCCTCAAATGTTTTATATTAAGTTTTGAGTGGTACCTTCTATATCCTAACCATAGCTCTTCCCTCAAATGTTTTACATTAAGTTTTGAGTGGCGCCCTCTATTTTCTAACAATAACTTTTCCCTCATATTTTATATTAAGTTTTGAGTGGCGCCCTCTATTTTCTAACAATAACTCTTCCCTCATGTGATTGATAGTAGTTTGTGAGTGGCACCCTTTATCTTCTAGTTTTCCCTGATGTGTAGGACAGTAATAATTTAGTGCCTTCGGCCTCTTCATCAGATTTATTTCACCATTTTAGTCTCCATTAGGCCCCTTATCTGTTATAATGGGTACATGAATAGGTAAACAGGCCCAGTCCACTTGTTTAAAGTAAACTGATACTTTTTTTCAGGTTGGTTTCCTGAGGTATGCCGATAAAGGGGGATAACTCTTCAGCAGACAGAGGCAAAACTCTGCAAATCAACCACAGATATTATATGACCTAAATGTACTGCCTTGACATTTTATTTCATTTCCTGATCCTAAATACAAATGTATCATGAAGTTCTTTTTCTTATTTTTTACTCCATTTTCATCATCCATATAATGATGGTTAAAATATTAATAAAAATCTTAAATTGAGTTTAAAACTCTAACGAATGTGTTGAATTATTTCTTATTTTGATTGCTGAACTTTCTTATGGTAGTATCTGTAATTTTTCTACAAAGCCATAAAATGCTAAAAGTCTAAAACTGATGACACCAGATTGAGGTTATTACTGTATAAATCATCTATTGGACAATATTGTTACCAGACAAATCATTATATATTACATTCACATCCTTACTACACAAATTAAGTATTACAGGATGGTTAGGTGGCGCAGTGGTAACACACTCGCCCTTTCACCTAACCATCCGGGGTTCGACTCCTGGAATGGACATGAAAAGTAACTTTTATGTACTACTCATTGTAAATATACAACATCATGCACATTTGCTGATTAATGATTTTAATTGAAAATTTATTTAAATAAATACATATTAATGAACTCTTTATTAAGGTGCATCAATAAAAATCTCCACAATGACATTTGTGGGACTTTTTAACCATACAAGAGATCACAGAGGATTATCTTATTGTCAATTACTGTATCAGCGTCTTAAGATCTGGTGGTTCACCACTTTTGTCTTTCTTCACCTTTGACGAAATACAGCTTATATTTTAAGACACTGACCATGTATTCTATATGTATTAAGGATGACTACAACAGGGTAAACACCAGCAGCTTGTGTGAGGACAAGAAAACTCAGAACAAATATTTCCTCGTATACAGTAGCCAATCTACCTAATGTGATCATGTGACATGACAATGTCATTTTCCAAAGGATTCTGCTGTCAAAATAAAATATTGGGTCAAGTTCTTAAATGACCTGAACGACAAAGATTCAAAGTTAAATACAGTCAAACCTTGTTATCTCAAACTCCGTGGGATTATGAAACAACTCTGAGATAACAGAGTATCTGATTTAAATGAGTGCGAATGTTTTGTGTAAAGTTAGGCAGGGACTGATAAAATGCTTTAGAGTTAAACTGGGTCTTCGAGTCCTGTGAGTTTGACATAATGAGGTTCGACTGTATGTTTAGTTTCCTTTTCCTGTAGTAATTGAGAAAAAGACTGGTGGCTATATTAGCCAAGTGAGAGATGGACTGCTGGGAGAAAAAATTTGATTCCAAATTGTTATTTGAGGGTGAACAAGAGAGGATAAAAGTTTTCTGTATAATGATCTAGATTACCTGTTTATCAAGTGTTTCTTTAAGAAATGTTTAAGACATGCTTTTCATATTTTCACCATCAACATATTTAGTAAAGTGTTTAAAGTAACAAGTACGATGAATATTCAGTATGTAGTCTGTGTTTGATATCATCAGACCATAGATTGCCCAGTATGTAGTCAGAGTTCATAAGGAACAGACTATAGATTGTATAATATGTAGTCAGAGTTCATAAGTCAGAGTTCATAAGGAACAGACTATAGATTGTATGGTGTGTAGTCAGAGTTCATAAGGAACAGACTATAGATTGTATGGTGTGTAGTCAGAGTTCATAAGGAACAGACTATAGATTGTATGGTGTGTAGTCAGAGTTCATAAGGAACAGACTATAGATTGTATAATATGTAGTCAGAGTTCATAAGGAACAGACTATAGATTGTATAATATGTAGTCAGAGTTCGTTAGGAACAGACTATAGATTGTATAATATGTAGTCAGAGTTCATAAGGAACAGACTATAGATTGTATAATATGTAGTCAGAGTTCATAAGTCAGAGTTCATAAGGAACAGACTATAGATTGTATGGTGTGTAGTCAGAGTTCATAAGGAACAGACTATAGATTGTATGGTGTGTAGTCAGAGTTCATAAGGAACAGACTATAGATTGTATAATATGTAGTCAGAGTTCGTTAGGAACAGACTATAGATTGTATAATATGTAGTCAGAGTTCATAAGGAACAGACTATAGATTGTATAATATGTAGTCAGAGTTCATAAGGAACAGACTATAGATTGTATAATATGTAGTCAGAGTTCGTTAGGAACAGACTATAGATTGTATAATATGTAGTCAGAGTTCATAAGGAACAGACTATAGATTGTATAATATGTAGTCAGAGTTCATAAGGAACAGACTATAGATTGTATAATATGTAGTCAGAGTTCGTTAGGAACAGACTATAGATTGTATAATATGTAGTCAGAGTTCATAAGGAACAGACTATAGATTGTATAATATGTAGTCAGAGTTCGTTAGGAACAGACTATAGATTGTATAGTATGTAGTCAGAGTTTGTTAGTAACAGACCATCGATTACTAAGAAGTGACCAGGCTTTCTCCACTTGTTTCTGAGTGTATTCATACTCCCACAGCGTACACAGTACAACATGAGATCTGTTAACTCGTTCCTGATTGGTCATTTGACTGTCCAATCTCTTTGAAGCTTCCTTCTCTGTAAACTTGTTTCTCTCCACTAATCTTTTGATAGCCTAAAATTAAAACATGAATGAAACATCATTAGAAAATTACCTCCCCTTATTTGTCTATTAGAAAATAGTCCCCTCTTATCTGTCTGTTAGAAATTACCTCCCCTTATTTGTCTATTAGACAAGAAGGCCATGGCCCTTCAAGATTATCTAACAATTGACAAATAGATGGATAAACCACAGAATTCTCTGATGGTGATCTTTGACAAATCTGATGAATTCAAATTTTGAACATTCCTTGACAGTTATAATCAGAAACTCATAAATAGTAGGTTCTGTGAATGAAAAACAGTTGCAAAACCATGTTACAAAATAACTACTGTGGTTAATATGTTGAAGTTTTGATCAGACTGAAAAATAACAAATCATCTCTTTCTTTATCCTAAATATTTTTCTCACTGGTGTGAATGAAACATGAGTTCAGAGGATTTGTTTTGGGTGAGTTTTGTTGGATTTTGGACCAAAGCATAAAAATAAGACTTGTACAGGACAATCTCAGTATCACTTCATGCATGTTTGATATCATTGCCACTCCCTGATAATGCTTAGACCAAATTTGGTTGAAATCAACCACGGCATTAAGAAGGAATTGCATTTTGAAGCAAAATATTGTTAAACTTCCCCTTTTGGGGCCTCGCCCCCAAGTTCCTAGGGGTTAAATCAACTTTCTGAATTCAAGAAATGATTTCCAACACTTAATGATGTTCCAGACCAAATTTGGATAAATCTACCAAGGCATTAAGAAGGAGAAGCCTTTTAAAGCAAAATATTGTTTTAATTTCCGTTTTGGGGTCCCATCATCAAGTCCATAGGGTTCAAATAAAATTTCTAAATTTAAGAATTATTTGCCAACCCATACTGATGTTACAGACCAAATCTTGTTGAATCCATTCTGGCATTAAGAAAGAGTAGCATTTTAAGGCAAAATATTTATTAACTTTCCCATTTGAGAGAAATTATTGCCTATTCTGTTACAACCCTTGGTGACAGTGTCAGTGATACAGTTAATGGTGTGGGACAGTGCCCCCTGGTGACAGATAATGGTGTGGTACTGTAACATGTAGTTATACAGACAGTGTCACCTGGTGACAGATGATGGTGTGGTACTGAAACATGTAGTTACACAGACAGTGCCCCCTGGTGACAGATAATGGTGTGGTACTGTAACATGTAGTTATACAGACAGTGCCCTCTGGTGACAGATAATGGTGTGATACTGTAACATGTAGTTATACAGACAGGGCCCCCTGGTGACAGATAGTGGTGTGGTACTGTAACATGTAGTTATACAGACATGGCCCCCTGGTGACAGGTAGTGACATGGTACTGTAACATGTAGTTATACAGACAGTGCCCCCTGGTGACAGATAATGGTGTGGTACTGTAACATGTAGTTATACAGACAGGGCCCCCTGGTGACAGGTAGTGACATCGTACTGTAACATGTAGTTATACAGACTGGGCCCTCTGGTGAGAGATAGTGGTGTGGTACTGTAACATGTAGTTATACAGACAGGGCCCCCTGGTGACAGATATTGGTGTGGTACTGTAACATGTAGTTATACAGACAGTGCCCCCTGGTGACTGGTGTAACATGTAGTTATACAGACAGTGCCCCCTGGTGACAGATAATGGTGTGGTACTGTAACATGTAGTTATACAGACAGGGCCCCCTGGTGACAGGTAGTGACATGGTACTGTAACATGTAGTTAAACAGACAGTGCCCCTGGTGACAGATAATGATGTGGTACTGTAACATGTAGTTAAACAGACAGGGCCCCCTGGTGACAAATAATGGTGTGGTACTGTAACATGTAGTTATACAGGCAGTGCCCCCTGGTGACAAATAATGGTGTGGTACTGTAATATGTAGTTATACAGACAGGGCCCCCTGGTGTCAGGTAGTGGTGTGGTACTGTAACATATAATTATACAGAGTGTGTCCCCTGGTGACAGATAATGGTTTGGTACTGTAACATGTAGTTGTTCAGACAGGGCCCCCTGGTGACATATAGTGGTGTGGTACTGTAACATGTAGTTATACAGACAGGGCCCCCTGGTGACAAGTAATGACATGGTACTGTAACATGTAGTTATACAGACAGTGCCCCCTGGTGACAGGTAGTGACATCGTACTGTAACATGTAGTTATACAGACAGGGCCCCCTGGTGACAGATAATGGTGTGGTACTGTAACATGTAGTTATACAGACAGGGCCCCCTGGTGACAGGTAGTGACATGGTACTGTAACATGTAGTTATACAGACAGTGCCCTCTGGTGACAGATAATGGTGTAACAGTAACATGTAGTTGTACAGGCAGGGCCCCCTGGTGACAGATAGTGGTGTGGTACTGTAACATGTAGTTATACAGACAGGGCCCCCTGGTGACAGATAGTGGTGTGGTACTGTAACATGTAGTTATACAGACAGGGCCCCCTGGTGACAGGTAGTGACATGGTACTGTAACATGTAGTTATACAGACAGTGCCCCCTGGTGACAGGTAGTGACATGGTACTGTAACATGTTGTTATACAGAGAGTGCCCC